TACCTGTGGCGCTGCCATGTGGCCTCGGTCACGTGGGTTCGTGACGTAAGGGGTAAAAGAATCTTGAGGTCATGGGGCTTCCCCTGACCTAGATTCTATCTCTCCGTCACCGGCAGAATCGCTGATTTATGCCTACAGTTCAAAATAGTCATTTTGACTGACCGGAGTCTATGGTGGGTATGAACTATGTGAATAGGCGGGTTCGGAGAACCCTCGCCTAATTTTATCATTTTACACTGCTGCTAAAGTTTTGTCAAACAATGATATAGTGCTGGTATACCTGGGTTTGCATGCAGCCTTGAATTCCTGGAATGTACTAGAATTCTAAATATCACATTTCCAGGCTTTTAAAAGTCATGAAATTTCGCCTTTTTTTAAAGAAATCATGAAAAAAAACACGGAATTTCACCACTTTCTCAAACTTTACTAAAACCCTCTTCTTTTTTCAGTCCCTGTTCAGTCGCAGTAATACATTATGTGTACACTCTTTTGATTTGGACAGGGATGTTTATTAAAATATTACAATTGACTGCATCTTTCCCATTAATACGTACATCTCCATTTTGCCCTGATATCACCTAATAATGGGTAGTGCAGAGTCATTCATTGCCTTTGCAAATATCTTGATGTGTGTAACTGTTCACTCTGCTTTATTTCTGATTCAAAGAATCACTTGTAGCTTGTGTTAACTTGAGATATTTTATTTCAGATATTACTGTACATCTAATGCAGTGACACCAGTACCGGATGATGCAGGTGTAACCGGTGCACCATGTACAACTGGTCATTATTGTCCAGAAGGCACTGCTGTACCCATTCCATGTGATCCGGGTACTTTTATGATAAACACACATGCTGAAGAATGTGAGATCTGTCCTACGGCACATTATTGTGTTACTGGATTAGATCCAGAACGTTGCCCACCAGGTTAGTACTTTTTACAAAAAAATGATTATCTTGTGTTTAGCTTATAGAATATAATAGACTATTATTACATCTATCACTGTAACGCCATAAGTTACAGTGTGCCGTAATTTTGCGGTATTTTACGGGGTATTTTCATCCTACCATATTAGAAAATGTGAATTCCGAGTATGGAATGATTAGGCGCGTAAACGTCCTCTGATAATAAAAACAAACATGGCTGCCACCAGGATTTGACCGGACTCCACACAAAAAAGTTCGCTGATTATGTTCTAAACATTTTGGATTTCGGCATTTCCATGATGTATCCTTGGAAGGAAACGATGTATAATAGTAAGGTTATTATGAGGATACCTCAAAGTATGTACTTAGACA